AGAGAAGGCGAACATGACACCCGCGAGCCGATTCGTGGACAAGACCCCTGCCGGGTAGACAAGCCCCTCAGGGAGCTTCACTGCGTTGCCTTCTTCGTGGCAGGGATGGGAGACCACGAGGAAATCCCGCAGCAGGTTGATAGGAAAGGCGTTGGCCTGGCCTCGGGGGAGGTCCAGGTTCAAGGCCCCCCTCAGCTCCCTGGGAGACTTGAGGCCCATCGCTCTCTTTCAGCCCGGCCTACCTCACAGGGTGGCGGCGGGGAGAATTTGGGAAGGGGTAAGAGATAAACGAACGGGGTTATCCACAAGGGCAAGCATACAAAAAGATATACGTTTCTTGAAGGAGGGGGTGGTGAGGGCTGGGCGAGAAAGCCTGGGATCCAGACCTGCCTCTCTCTCTCTTTGCCTGGCCTACCTCGCAGGGTGGCTGCGGTATTGTGAGAGGAGGCTGGAAAGAGGCGGAAGGAGCGATATGTCAATCTATATAAATAGGGAGGGTGATTCCCTTGGAAAGCCAGTGTGGTATAGTTGGATTGGCCCCAGCAGGCTCAGATTTAAGTTGCTGCTTGGCCACCAAAGCCCACAGAGACTTTGGGCCAGTCGTTCTCTGTCAACCCAGCCTACCTCACAGGGTTGTTGTAGGGGGTTAAAAAATGGGAGGAGAGGGCACTACGGGTGCTGCCTTGAGCTCCTGAATGAAAGGTGGGATATCAATCAATCAATCAATAGACCAGGAAGTTGAAGAAACGTGTTAGAGTTGCCCATGGTTGCCAGGAAGGCTACAGGTCGTCCTCGTTTAGTGACTGCCTGGTTCACTGACTGTTTGCAGTTATGACGGTGATGAAAAAGTAACTTTACAACCCATCCTCGCATTTACGACCTTTGCAGGTCTGTAGAGCAAAGGAAAGCTGAAATAAGATCATCAGTACAGTTGCAGTTTCACTTAACGACCACTTTGCTTGACAACCGAGTTGCCGGTCCCAATTGTGGTCACTAAACAAGGACTACTTGTATGTCGAGGGATCCATGGATGATTGATTTGCTTCCAGGTCCAATTCAAAGCGGGATCATCACCTTTCAAGCTTGACGTGGCTCATCTCTCAGATAACTCCGGGACCGTCTTTCCCATCAAGATCTGGCCTGCCCTATGAATTCCTGAGGGTCCCCACCCTATGTGAAGTGAAGGGAATGGGGACCCAGCAGCATGCTTTTTCTATAGGCACATTACTGCCCCCACCCAATGGAGACCCCCAACGTACAAACTGCCCTGAATCTGATCTTTCAAACATTGTTTATGACTTGGAGCGTTCAGGACCTAACAATATGTGACCTGCCTATTAGTTAGAATATGGTTATTATCTGTTCCTATTTTATTATTTATTGTTTATGTTCTGTTTTGAAAACTGCCTTAATAAATGGTATATAAAAATGTATAAAATGAAGTCACCAGGACCCCAGCTCTACTTGAGAGATTTACTACCGAAGAAATTCAAGGTGGTAAATATGGAGTCATACCTCAAATCAAGTCAAATATTTAATACTTACCTGGCAAGGGAGATACCTTGAACATGGAGTCATACCTCATTTTGAGCCACCACCCACTTTTTAATCTGTTCTCTGATCACAGCATTAGCATACAAAGGATGGTTATGATATAGGATGTTGAATAATTTACTTCAAAGTGGGATTAGATTTCTTGAGAATGTGGTAATGGAAGCAGACAAGTTTTTTCTCTTTAATCATGATCTGATTTTTTTTTAAACTATGCATAGGTCAGTCTGTGTACATGTATCTGTTTTTGGACTTGGATCTACCACTTTAGAAAGTTTAAAGCTTTTACACTTTAAAACTGGATTATTTCAGTCAAAGTGCTAACTTTCCTCCTTTACTTGCAAAAATGTCCCTATAAAAGGTTATATTCTCTGGTTGTAAAGAGTGGAAAATTTGTATAACTGCTGAACAAGTAGTCTTGACATTCAGGCTATGTTTTTTTTTCCTTCCTAACATTTTTCCTGCAGGTGTCGGGTCCGCTGTTTTGCAAAGACAAAATCAACCCTCTTTTCGGTTGTTTTTGGCTAACAGAAATTCCACATTTTGTTGATTTGATTGAAAAAGGACTAGTGAGAGCCTGTTCATAGTGTCTTCATCTTATTGAGAGCTCAGCTAGCCATGATGCTAAATGCTCTACCACATCATTTTCTAAAATATCGATTTTTTTTTTTTTTTGGCGGTTTCCTGGCACTTTCAGGCAGTTCAGTTGGTTTTCTGACTCTTTTCCTTCACTTGCAGATGCCTCGTTCCAGAAGGTTTCAGTCTTCGGAACGCAGCAGCCGGGGCAGCTACCGTGAATGTTACAGAAGCCGGAAGCACAGACGGAGACAGAGTCGTTCCCGGTCGAGTAGCAGCGAGCGACGGCGTCACCGGGAGGACAGCTATCATGTCCGATCCCGGAGGTGAGTCCCCAAAACGGGCTCTGCAAGGAGAAGATACAATATTGATGAAGATAGCTGCTTCTGGGTGGTGGAACTGGGCTCTGTCTGTCTGTTTGTTTGTCTCTTAACTTTAGGAGCTTGGCATTATATGCTGCTCTTTGAGACGCAACAGCTTCTTTGTTTCTGCCACGTGAATGTGTCCCTGAGGACTGTAAATGGTTCATGTGGTCCGCGCTTTAAAGTTTTGAAGTACTGATCTTAAAAAAACTTTGTCATGGGTGTGTATGTAAGTCTTTATTTCAGTTCTGTTAAAAAAAACTGCTCGGATGGGTCCCTGAAGTTGCTAGGAATCCAGCTTGCCTTGACGGAGATTTGAATTAATTTACGTTGGGAAAAATGTAAAAAAGGTTCCACGGCTCTTCCATTGGCAGGAGAACTAATGTAGGTAGGACTTGTTGCATCAGCTGCATGAGGAGCTCCATAAAGAGGGTCCAGCAGAGCAACCTTGCCCAGATGTGTAGACATGGAGACCCAGAATTCTTCAACTTGCGTGAGCAGGACTGAGAATTTTGGGACCTGGAGCTGTAGTCCACCCACCTGGAGGGTGCTATGGCATTGTACATCACAATGTTGAAAAAGCACTAGAAATGTTACCTCTTGGATGTTGTGACTCTTCCATGCCTTTGGGTCTAGGAAACATGGACCAGGGGCCAAATTGGTATCGCAAACCCAAACCTAAAAGTTTGCGGATCAAAACTTAAACATTTCACTAGTGCTTTCTTGACGCTAAGCAGATCCCCTTTCTCCCTCGATTTCACGCTTCCCCCAGTTACGACGATCACTCGTCTGACCAGCGTGCCTACGACCGGCGATATTTGGACGATTACCGGCGAGATGGCTACAGCGAGCGGGGCGATG